ACCACAAGGTAAACTTCCCTGCTCAATGTTACATGCACCCTCCAAGACATGACACTATTTCATTTCCATATGACTTCTTCCTTCTAATCATCTTAGTGAGGTTATTAAGGAGAGAGTAGTCTTGAACTTTTGCAGTCAACAAATGAAATCTATAAATATTGGCTCTCTGATTTATTAGAATATCCTCATTTCTTCTAAAGATGGAACCACTAGAGGTTTAGGATACCCTGCTTTGATTTTTACTTTTTGTCAGCAATCAGGAACAGGATATGAGAGATGGGAAGAGCTATTACAGCCTATTAAACCCATTAGCAGGACCAATGTGCATGTATAAGAGTTGCATGCTAGATTGAGGTCCAGAGGTGGAAATTCAAATATTCCTTCTACCTCCATTTCAAGACCATCTACCTCAGGTACTACTGCTCACCTTTCAGCCATTCTGGATGAACTTCATGGTGATTATTAGGCACAGTTGCATGATATTGCATATCTGCAAGGTAAAGTGACTGATATTGATGATAAGATTGATCATGTTCAGGGATACTTGAAACTCAAACATGATTATGATATGAGTTTCAATACCCCTCTAGTGAGTTTTCTTCATAGAAATCAGGATGTTCTATTTCATCTAGTCCTCCATATTTGAATTATGAACCCCAGACCCATATGAATGAGGATGATGATGTTGAGGATGAGGAGGAGGATGAGTAGTTATATCTTTATTTTTGTTGGATGTAGTTTACTTATGTGTCTTTTGTAGTTGTATTTCAATGGATTATGTGTCTATATTAGAATATTGTACTGAACTTGTTGTTATGATTTGTTATTTGTGTTGGTGGATTGTTTATTGTTTGTTTTTACTGCACTACTGTCTATTTTTAAATTTATGCTTATGTTTAGAGTAGTCATATACTTAGCAAATGTTTCTGATATATCATGTTTAATGAAGCTTTACTAACTGCTATACACCTGCCATTTCAAATTGTAACTGCATATTTTCATGTTAAAACCCTATATAGAAGGTCAATTTTATAATTTAGATTTGTTATTTTCTTCCTACCTACATTTCTTTACTGAATGTTTTATCTTGTTAAAAATTTAATTTTGGGGAGGGAAAAAACTTTTGAAAATTGAGCTTTAATTTTCCTCAATGGCATTATTTTAAAACAACCTATGGTATGTGGTGTTATCTTTATGATTCTAAAACTTTTGATTTTTCGGAATGATATAGAAAATTTAGAAGAAAAGTTAGTGAAAGGATGAAACTAAAGTTAAGATAATTAGTAGAGAATATTAGAGAAATGATTTTACTATCTATTTTAGGAAAAATTAAATTTTTGAAAAATTAAGGATTTTAAGAATAATACTTTTTAAAGGATTTAAATTCTATGAAAATTCTTTTTCAAAATGTAATACGAGCTAAGTTAAGGATAGAAAATAAGTTTTTAGCTTTAGAAAAAAGATAGTGAAATTTAAAATAATTAAAGGTCTATCTAGATATAATAATTCTCACTTAAGAGAATAGGAATTAAAAATTCCTGAAAGAAAAAGAAAAGAAAAAATAATAAAAAAGAAAGGAAAAAGTAAAGTATGAGAAAGGGAGGAGAAGCTTGAGAATAGGACCTAATTAAAAATCGATTTCACTTAAAGTTTTCTAAAGAACGAAACTTAAGATCAATCTTATGTTTAAGGTCTAAATGTATTAGTGAAAATTATTTTCAATATTGAATTCATAAATTTTGAAATTAATATTTTTCCAAAAATCTAAAGTTTGAAGAAATTTCGATCATCTCTGAATTAAATAGAAAATTAGTATTCCTAAATTTAATATTAAGTGTTCTAATACCTTAGATATCATCTATTTTACTAAAAATTTTTTCTAAGTTGGACTATTACAATTCTAAAACAAAAATTTTAAATCACATAAATGAAACAAATTGTCATAAGTTAATAAATATATATGTACTTTATATATATAATTTATAGTGAAGTCACTTGGGACAAGTAATAGTTAAGTTTGGAGGATTTTGACATGTCTAAAAATATGCAACTTTTATATACACATTTAATGCCTATTTTTAGTGATATTGCACATTAATTGAAGATATTTCTATGTCTTTTCTACAGGCACAATAAGTTGGGCAAATTGGAGCTAAAACAAGCAAAAATGGAAAAATTTGGAGTAAAAAAGAGGCCCATTATAGAAGTTGACCTCACACCCTGACGCCTAAGAGCCAATATACAGAAACAATGGCGTCTAGGCCCCACGGTTAGGTGCATAGGCCCCAGAAATGGTTTCTCCCCCAAATTTATTGAATTTGAACAAATTTTGAAAAGGTACTAAAGGTGATTCTTGGAAATTCAACCCTATGCTATATAATAGTGATTTTATTACAGAAATGGGGTGGCACAAAGGAGGACAAGAGGAGAGTAAGTGAAGAAGAGTGAAAGAGAAGATTGTCTCTTAGAGTTGTAAGAGGAGAGGGGAAGTGAGTGATTTCTTCTTCATTACATTTTTAAGAGGGAATTGAGTGATATTGTAAAGAGATAAAGTGAGATTACATTTTTAAGAGAGAATTGAGTGATATTGTAAAGAGATAAAGTGAGAAAGGAACTTTAAAGGATTTGATTGGGGAGGAGATTGAGATAAGTAGTTTGTACTTTACTTGTTTTACCTGTTCTTGTTGTGTAAACTTGTTTTTATATATAAATCCATGTTTTGTTGTATCTTTCTCATAAAATCTGAGTGATTTGCTTTGTCTTTTCTCTGCAATGAGAAATAATCATGCGAAGAATTGAAATTGTTTAGAAGTGTTTTAATTTCATAACTGTGATGATTCAAACTTCAAACTTCATTTACTTAATCAATATGACCAATTATTAAGTTAAAATTTCTTGTAAAACATAATGATCCGAAAAGGCTATGCTTTCCTCAACCAAGTAAGAATCACATTTGATCTCATGGATGAGAATTTATTCATGTGGTTAAGTACAAATAAATAAGGAAATAAATTTTGATGTGTGTAAATTTGTGATTGTAGAGTGACAAGCTGAACCTCCAATTTGTTCTAGAAGTTGAGAACTTAAGGCTAGATGTTAGCCTCCAGGCTGAGGGATAGTGGGAACTCTAGAGTGAGAGCTAGTATTTTCGCAGCCTAACCGGGGATTTAGGAACTTTACTCTGGATTAGCCACCTTATACACTTGTAAGAGGGTAAAGAATATGTATGCTCTTATTTAACACAATATAATTGATAACAATTTGAATTATTCACTGATTATAATCTCATTGTAATGGGAAGTATACTTTCTAAAATTTGAACAATGTTTCAGAAAACTTAGTTTTAGTTAACTTAAAATCTATTTTGAGTTTAGAGATAAGAGTAGTATATATAATTTATTTAGTCTAAAAACACAATTTTTGACCTGCATTCCTAGTTATGTTTTCTGCAGTTTAATTAGAGTTTCTTTGAGTTAATATTATAAGAATTTCAAACTTCCCTATGAGATCAATACTTAGGATTCCAATAAAACCCTATATTACTTGTGCGATACATATTCTTCCGTTAGCATCCTAGCAAATATTTGAAATCGATAAATAACACCTTAAATAACAAGGAGTGACAGTTATAAAGATTTTAGGAAATATTAACTTTTCTGAATTAATTATTGCTGTGGTTGCCTCAACAATCAGCGCGCATCATTTATCCGACAAAATTTTGCCACAAACAGACGCAAAACAACATGTTTGAAACTTTGGGACGCTAATTCTAATGCTAATTAATTATATCCATTTAGTGAAGCTTAATAGTTTAATAGAATAATGTTTTCACCAATAACCCTAAACCAGATGAATTTGTCGTTTCAGATTTGAGTTGCATAGGGTATAACCAACATAATTTTGAGAAGCATCGATAAATGAAAATTAAAAGCAAAAAACATGAATAGAGGAGGCTGGTGAAGGACTCCAGTCGTTTGTGTGTACAAATTCAAATGGTTAATATGAAGGATTACTTCATTTTATTAACAAAAGCTTGTTACTTTTTGTGTAGGTACACAGGTTACAATGAGATTTATTATGCTTAATAGATAAATTTTGCTGTTTGGAAATAAATAAAAGTATAGCTAAACATTAATGCCACAGTAGTGGCTGTGATTTTTCACAGAAGAACTACATGCTGTGCGGGATGTAAGACAACATTTGAGAGCCCTTTTAGACAGCCACCTGACACAATGATTTGATTGGTCCTCCGATCCTTGATTCAAAAATCAGATACATACACTAACCTCTTGATGTGCCCTTAAGCTAAACAATATTAACAACGTTGCAAGATGAAACAATGACTACGTATAATATACTTATAATATGTTTAATATGTCTTGAATCAGCAATCAAAAGGATAAAGGTAATATTGAGTCCATAACTTTTTGAGTTAAATTTATTGATTATAATAAGAAGAGTGGCTAAAAATTATCAAATGAATCATATCGAACACTATAGGCTTAAGAATTACATTTATAAAATTACAATTAAATTAGTTTATGTTAAATGCATCATATGTGTGGTTAAACTTATAAAGAATTGCTGACACAGCAGTTTATCATCATGAAAAAACACAGCAAAATATATAAAATCAGGTAATGGCGCATGCTCAAACAAGATTAAATGTTGGACGATGTAGATTAATAAACTTGAAAATGCATTGATATATATGTAAATAGTTAACACAGAGATTAAAATAATTAAAATAAATCTACGAATTCAAACTTAGAATTAAGAAATGAGTTTTGATTTGTTGGCCTAACAGAATTGTTATTATTTCAGTTCATACTGCCACTTTAGAATGCTGCCAAAAGACGAGTCATTTGTTTTGGTTTGTTGGCCTAACAAAATTCTTATTTCACCAGTTCATACTGCCCTCTTAGGATACTGACAAACGAGGAGTCATGATAAGTTCGACAATTACAACAATCAGTTTAAAAATGAAACATTCAGATTATTATTTTTTTCTTAAACATGCCGAATTACCATACACAGAATGCAATAATAATACATAAACCATGCATTTAATTACTAAAAAGACACTTCAACTGGAGTCAACCTTCCACTTTACAAGGAACAGTATTATCATGCACTTTATCAGAAATAGCATTTACAACTAAACCCTCAAGGACAGTTAGACATCCACACAATAAGAGGCCTTTTAATGAAAATGAGCTAATAGGGCATAGCGCAGAGAATATCCTTTCACATGAAAGCCTTACCATAAACAAAGATTTCTTCTACTCTCAGTTTATGAACTTGCGAGGTCAAAGAACAAAAACTAAGACAATGTCTCAATGAAGGCATCGACCTTGTCATTTGTTGTCCTTGATAAGAACTTCATGCATATGGGCGGCTGCACCTTAGCCAGTGCAAGAATAGATTGTGGCAAAGTCCATATTCCATCTCCACAAATCAGACCAGATGCCACAGCCGAGGCAAACTTATCAGCTTTCGGCTTGTCTAATCTTTCCCAGATGAACAGTATAAGGCTTCCCATGCACATATCAATGGCAAAATATGGTCCAAGATAAAATGGTATAGCCATAGCCATAGGTAATGGAATGTATTTTGCCCACTTCTTCCCAACTACATCTCTTAAGAGGTTGATGAGGATAGCACCGGCAAAGAAGATATAACAGAGGGTGAGGCAATGCTTTGGCAGTGATGAGAAGCCATCAACACCAAGTATTGCCATGTTACGGTAAACCAGTGCATAAGGTGCTGGGTATTCAGATCCTGGCACGCCAAGATCTTTGAAGGCCTTGTAAAAAAGCCAAAAGACACAAGGTCCAATAACACAGCCCATAGCAGTTCCAATAACCTGGCTGATAAACATGGACCTTGGGGAGGCAAGAGTGAGATAACCAGTCTTAAAGTCCTGCATCAGATCAGAAGCAGTGGACACAATGTTCATCATGACACCACATGCTGCAAGACCTGCAAGCACTCCTCCATGGGCAGAGCCAACCCAAGCACCAAAGATGAAGATGGCCAGCTTTCCATAGGTAGATGCTAGGGACCAATCTGTGAGGCCACAGCCATAAGCATTGCAGAAGGCAAGCACCGGGGCAAATGTATATGTGACCAAGATATGGTACCATTTGAGCTGAGGGAATATATGAGGTACTGTGGCAATGGAGATAGCAGCAACTAGAAGATAACCAACAAAGGCAACCTTTTTAGGTATTTGATCCTTAAGGAAAAGCTCAACACGCCGTTGATCATCATAGGATATCATACTATCGGTAGCAGCATTATCATTTTCAGTGTAAGGCAGCGTGCTGGCCATATTCTTGCTCTGTGCATGAGAAATAATAGCAGGTATTGTCTTGGTTAAAACCTTGACAAAATTGTAGAGACCGTCGCCAAGAATCATTGCAATTGATATAAATACCTTGAAGGACCCCACAGATATGTTTAGATGGTTAAATTTAAAATTTTTAAGCATATTTTATGTAGAGTAGCAAAAAAAGACATTAAGAAATACCCTGTAGCCCTGCAGACCATGAAGGTTGGAGGGTGGGAGAGCTGCTGAATACCAACTGCCCTTTCTATTTCCAATAAGTGGCCACATGATACCCCATGAGAGAATACCTCCCAAAAGGACAGATATATTGACAAGATAAGGGCAAATCATTCCGACACCAACATAAGTTGCAGAAAAGTCAAAATAGAACCTGTTGAAAAAGATGAAATCAATCATTTGAGAAAGTGAATTTAAAAAATGAGATAGATGGATAAGTTATATTACCTGTTCTTATAAGCTTCAAGGCCTAATGTTGGGAAGCTGACAAACCCGCAGTTATCACCAGCGGTGTAAAACCACTGGAAGAACCCCCATAAGAAACTCCCCACAAAGAATTTGCCCAGTGTCTTCACTTGTTTCCTACAACAATAACAGAGGAATTTCGTTTTATTTGTATCCCTTTTATCTTTTTAAAATAGCAGGTTGATTTGAGTTTCTGAAGTTACTTCGCTAACTTAGCTCCTTGGGGAGTGTGGAAACCATTGATAAGGTGAGCAGTTGCAGTGCCACTTGGATAGCTCAATTTGTAGTCTATGATCATGACCTGAAAATTTTAAGATACTTAAATTACAGTAGCAATATATATCAGAAATCTATTACACCATCCATCCTCTACCTCCCTCTCCCTGTCACTCCCTCCCTCTCCCCCACTCCCTCTCTCTCACACACAATCAATATGTAAATGAAAGGATGAGTAGAACCTTTCTAAGGGGAACAAGAGAAAAGAGTCCAATAAAGCTGACAAGAAAGAGAAATCCAATCATCCATCCTAACTGCGGATCCTTGGTGTCCTGCGAACTGTTTTCTTCGCTTGATTGTTTTGCCGTCCTTGAACTCATTGCAAAAAGATAACTTCCAAAACCACCTGTCTCCATGTGCAAGAAAAGAACTTAAAAACAGCTGATCAATGTAAAAAATTGGCCTTAGCCTTTACATACACATAATGGTATATGTAATGACTACAAACAAAATCATTGTGTGTACCATCAATTTCACATGGATGTCAAATGGGCACCCCAAATTATCAGTTTAACATGATGATTAAGATAGTTCGGAAGTACTCCTAAATTATCAACACAAAAACAGAACAGAAACTCTTAAATTGTCTGGCGATTCAAATCTCTTAACATCTCTTTTGAACATCAGATGCACCACTATTTGTTTTCTATTTAATACAAATAGAAATATTTTTATAAGGAAACTAATATATTCCAAATTATCATATCACATCAATCAAAATTAGATGCAAAGAAAAGAAGAAAAATACAGGCATATTACTGTTCTTTTGAAAAATGTTTTAATTGGACAAACCTCAATTTTTTCTAAAATTTCAAGGAGAATAGCCACGTGCGGCATAACCCAGTGTCGTAGAGTATCTTGTCTTAATATCGATACATCCGTTTAGAAAATATCAGCTATTGAAGAAGTATCAAAGTGGATTCTTTAATTTATTTTTAATATCCAAAACTATAAAATGCTAACTCAATATCCTTAATTACAAAGTTTTTAACAATTTACTAATGGGAAACTTTCTATAGTATAATCGCATTATTATTGTATCAATGGTAAAGTCTATTTAGACATTCGTAGTGCCATGGAGCTATAAAATTATCAGACCAAAGTATTATGTTTTATCAATAAAATTAATCAAAAGGAGATATTAATGTATTCCATTAAATTAACGCAACGACAGTGATTCATTAGAAAACTACATCTCATCCAACTCCTCATTTAGGGCAACTAGAGCGGATATAAGCAAAATTCAAACATAATCTGCACCTGTTTAATGCCGTGTAATGGTTCATTTCAATAAATATCTAAAGCCACAACACCAAGTCAGAAGGAGTAGATGAGGTGTCTTTTCCTTAATTTGCCAATCAATCGGCCGACTGCAGGCCGAGCAACAAAATTTGAATTCAAGTCCGAATATTTTACTAGCCAGCTAATTACTACTACTGCAGCACTGCCGTCAAGGTGGGAACCCAGTGAGAGACTAACGGCTTAAATTGACCACAAAGCATTGCACGCCTACCAAGTTAACAAAAAAAAAGGAAAAATATTGTTGCAAATGCAATTTGCATTATCTATAAGGATGATCTGAAAATGGTGAGAAGCGAAATTTGAACGTCAAAATCACTAAATATAAATATTTATAAATGTATTTTAAAAATATATAGAAAAAGTATTAATGTAAGACATTTATATGAATTTTGAAAATATATATATGCACATGATTTTTAATCTTAATAAAAAAAATTATAAGAAATTTGGGAAGATAAATGCAAAAAATCAAAATTTTACAACTAAAATATTATAGTTTTAAAAAATTTTAAAAGTACATATGGCCCAGGAGTTTGTTCTTTCTCTAGCGTTATGGGTTAAATCCCAGAAAAATTCATTATAATTTATCGCCCGTCATGAAAAGAAAAGTTTTACAAAAAAATAAAAAATCATCCTATTAATTAAACAATCAAAACAAATCCTGCTACAAAATCGAGAAAGTTAAAGTTCTTTATGTTTGATTTTAACATTCTTAATTTTACATTATGATAACTGCAATTTATAAAAAATCATTCAATTTGGGATTTACTATTCCTAACAAAATTTTGGGAGAGAATTGCACCCATCACATTGGGAAATTCATACAACTAATTAGAAAACGCTCACGCATTTCCCATAAACGATTGGAATCTTTTATAAAAAAATCCTAGAAAAGATTTATCTAAATGATGAGCAACTAATCAGAAGATCATAAAGTTAAAAAAAGAATTTTCTAAAAGCATGTGTATCCAGCATGATACTGAATAGCTCAATTTTCATCTCAAATCGAATCGGTTACTTTTTCAATCCGATTCAACCACTAATTTCCATCTTCCAAAAACTTGTATCAAACAAAGATTTGATAGCGAAATACCGAGAAAATAATTTTTAATCGTTTGTAACAGCAACGATTAACGATAAGAGGAAGAAAAGGGCTTAAACAATTACCGCTGAATGCAATTCCATAAGCGGCAACGACGCATGTCTGGATCACAGTATTCTCCTGTCGGGTGAAAGCATGCTGAAGGAGACCGGATTTCTCAAGGACCTTCGTCCACGTCTTGACGAAGAAGAATCCGAGGAGGCCAGCGGAGACGTTAAGGGAAGGGATGATACCGGTGGTGAGATTGAGCTTCATCACAATGATACTGAACATGATGGAGAGGAGGAAGCTCACAACCATCGCACGAAACGTAAGCTGCTCTCTCCATGGTGGAACCCTCTTCCCTTCAAACACCTTTTCGATAGACATCATATCATCCTCCTCCTGATTTGCGGCTGCAGATTTTGCAGTCTCAAACGCGCTGTTCTCTTCTTTCTTCCCTCTTCGATGGGTCATCTGGCTCTGATCCGACATCTCAATCCCGCGATCCTCGCCGGGGTGAGTCTCCCGGCCGTCACCATTCTCCATTGCGGCAGGCGAACTGTGATTAGGGAGAAGGGGGAGGATGCTGAAGATAGGAAACGAGTGAGGGATGCAAGAAGAGAGGACGCCCAATTTTATAGGCCGGAACTAAAATGGGAGGTCAAAATTTCGCCTGATTTTGCTCCTGGTTATGGTGAAAAAGGATTCATCGCTGTCAGATCCTGATTCCATGGCTTCCGCGGTTCATAATTCAAAAGCATTGACCATCTGTATTTAATTGTTATTACTTATAGGGCAAGGGGGCCCTGTGGGGACAGCCAGCATTCAAAGCTTTAACGCTTCTGCACCGCGAGTTCATAACCGTTCCCGTTCGGGCAGAAAATATTACGAGTTTCGATTAAGCTTTTTTAGTATAATGATTATTGATTTAGAATTTTGGATCCGATGCTTATGATTTTTAGGATTTAGAATTTTTTTTCTTTTTTTTGGCAGGGGTGGGGACTGTTTAAATTTCCAAAATAGTAGTGTATTTAATGCCAATAAATGTTGAAATTATTACGCATTATTTAGAAATTGATATTTTTTTTAATTGGGCTTAAGTATTGTTTAATAATGCAAAAGAATTTCAAAGGTAACTTTTAAGCATTGCATTATTTTTTTTTGTTCAACATAAACATGCTTTGTGCTTACACCGTTTTCAATTTTATTAGAATTTTTACAAATGTTTTTATTTTATTTTTTCTGCCATTTATTTACATCATTGTTTTATAAATAAAATTATAATAATTATTTACCCCAAGTGTTTAGTATAATTTTTTTCTTATTTTGTTTCTAAGAACAATAAAATTTAAACATAATTTAATCAATTACATTTAAGTGCATATTCAACATGTGTTTTGAGGTTGATACAAAAAAATTTCCTAGGTGAAATTTATGTTAAGCTCTAAATCTTAACATGCCCTGATATAATTTTTATCATGGCATGGAAACCATTTTGTTTAGTTTGAAGTTAATACAGTAAATAAAAAAACAATAATAAATAAATAATTTGCCCTCTCCTTGCCAATCCTAACAAAAAATTGTACTAGCAACAATATATAGATATATATAGATATATATATATATATATATATATATATATATATATATTGTGGCGAAACTGAAATTTGCATTTTATTTCCAAGGCATTCATAAATTCAATGATTTTGATAAAGAAATTGTCTTTATGAAGATATTTAGAGCAATGTCTTGTAATAGTGATATTTGGAGAAATATGGCTGCCATATTCTTATTTAAAAAACGATGACCAATTCTTATCAAATTGCCTTTGGTATCCAAATATGAGTCAAACGTTTGACTCCTCTCATATTCATGTGAAAATTGGAACGATGAAACCTATTTCTTACAACCACCTAAACATTTCCCAATGGACTAACAACTCAAGCAATCGAACTCCCTGAAAGCTTTCTATTTTAAAAAGTGGAACAACATACCGAAGTAATCCTTTGAAAAGTTAAGAATTACATTGTGTGTACTACAAATATGCCAGCATGCATCTGAAGGAAATATGAAGGTCAACAACAGAGTCGCACAAGTAAGTAATCGGACAACAAAGTAGAGAACCAACAGCAAATAGTTGATCTACTTTATAAAATGATCGAGTGACATAATGAGCCGACAACGAAAATTTTGTCTAGCAGAATCTACGACCAAAGGATTTTCCAATCATAAGACCACTAGCGATGGTCCACACATCCTAATCAAACAACCAGAAATCTCTAGGAAGAAGATATGACCGACTGTCACATCCGACCGACAAGCATACACGGCGGACAACTAACATAGCCAACTGGCCTCAAGACTTTAGGCAATCAACCAAAGGCCACCTTTTACTACTCGTTACCATGTAAATTTAAATTAATTATTTAAGAAATTTATGGAAAACGCTCTTTCCTTACATATACTTGTATACCCTTATAAGAAGGAGGTCATGAAATAAAAAAAAGACACATATTTTTGGGTTTTGTTACTGATAGATCCTCACACTTGGGGTTTCTGACACCTGACAATTCTCTCTCGGCTCCTCTCTACCTCTCTCATTTTTATCCTTACAAGCTCTAACTCTCCGGGCATGTTTCAGAAGAAGAAAATCTTGGATTCAACATCCTAAAAGGTGGGTGTGGACATGCCACATAAGAGAAATAAAGCAAATTATGAAGGAGAAACATAGCAGCGGAACACAACACAGATGGAGTTTAATAAGGAATCGGTTGGCCGAGAAATCCAACGACAAGTTCCAGAATTAAGAGATAAGATGATGGGTCAATTCAAAATCATTCGACAAACAATCTTACAAGAGAATGATCATCCCTCATTTTTTGAAGTAGGTTCTCTAGATCTCACCCCAAAAGTGTTCCCTGGAGTATCTGCTCACGTTAGTCAGATGAGTTACTAATAAAGCAATCGAAGGAGAAGGAGACTCCCAGCGTCTAGCCATCATTGATTCCACATCATTGGTCAGACCTCGGGCAAAAAGTGTCAAACTTCCAGTTCTGACAACCCCTAAAAACGGCTGCACTCGGTAGATTTTGGAGTCTAAATTACCGGCAAAGTTGAGGATTCCCCACGTAGCATATCAATGATGCCATAAAGTGTCGCCACTTCTTGACAACAATCAAGGAGTCAGCTCTCTACTAGTTCCATGCTTTGTCAGTCAGAATCATTCTGACTTTTGCTAAGCTCAGGAAGCTCTTCATGTTACAATTTGCCAACATACAGAATTTGAGAAAGAAAACACATGCTCTGCTATAGGTAAAGTAAGGGAGGAACGAGAGTCTATGATCATTCATCTCTTATTTTAAGAAGGAAACTTTTAAAGTATAAGAATTTCAACCATTAATAATCAAGACTGGTCTGTCACAAGGGGTTAGAGATGAGTGTTTCAAGTACAATTTAAATATGTTCGAACCAAAGTCTGTTTCTGAGATATTAGAAATGGCAACAACCATATTGCTGGTGAAGAATCCTTCACGGAGGAAAGATGAAAGTTGAGGGATAAACATAATCCCTCCAGTCATCAACACTGTAACAACAATCATCAGCTACAAGAGGGTCAGGGCAATGGTCGTGGTCATCATAGTCAAAATAAGGCTCTAAATAGTGACTGCCATGATATTATGAGCAGCTGCACATGCATCGAGAGATGTGGTGTTTTACACCAGTAAATTTCTCAATGCCTGAATTAGTAGTAGCCATATGATGTGTAGAAAAACATGCTTAATTTCATTTATATTTTGCACTATGAACAAAATTGCCTTTTGAAGAAGGGTTTTATCATATTTTTTCTTGTAGATACAATAGGTAGTAGAAGTAGAATGAAGTGGAGAAGAAATGGAGTGAAACACAGATGATATGGAGCAATTGGAGATCCAAGGGACTGGCACCTAGGCACGAGCCATTGTGTGCCAAGGCGTACTTACCAAGGGTACTTGGGTGCCTAGGCCTCGGTAAATAGTAGAGCAGATTGAGAGGCTAGCCTAGGCACCAGCAACTGCTAGGAAATTTTTTAGTTGTTTCTCCTCATGACATAGGGAGTTATTTGTTAAGGTTAATAGCAGTTCTTTATGAATATTTAGAGAGGGGCTTTGTGAAGAAGAATAGAAGAACGGTAGGGTTTGCTGTAGGAGAGAATTAGGGCTTTTACTTAGAGATTTTTGTGAAATCTGAGAGATTTATTGTGAGGAGATTATTCAACACAGCAGTAAAGTTCTAAGATATCGTAGGAGAGCATTTTCAGATCATTGTAAATAAAATTAAGCTAAATATTGTGCATTTATTTTACTATAATTTTGTAAAACACAATTACTAGTGGATTAACTTTGTATTAATGATATTTTGTGGTGTTTTCCTACATGCTTTGTGCACATTTTTTTCACCCATTTCTTATAATAATTATGTTAGTTGTGTAGGAATTGTAGAATGCTTTTAAATTGGTTTTCAATCTTTAATGTGATGAGTACTCTTTAAAGCTTCATTACCTTTTCATTCTAGCCAAGTGATTAGTTAAAATATTTTGTGATCCCTAATGACTCGAAAGAGCTATGGAAGAATAATTAGAATATTCTCTTTGAACAATAGGATATGATGCAAAAGTAAACTACTGGGAGATGCAAGTAGACAGAAAATAATCATTAATGGGTTCAAATTAGGTAATGGGTTCAAATTATGTTTTAAGGAATTAAAACCAATTTAACTAAACTTCTTTATGCAACATGGAGAGGGTAAAGTAGAGAATTGCTCCTATTTGTCACTAGCCACAATTACAATTTAAAGTATTCATTTTCTTACAAACAACGTATATCATTGCAAGGAAGGGTAATTTACATCTTAATTGTCACCTATTCAAATATATTCAATAGGATTTCTGTAGGAGTAAATCATCAATTACAGTAAACTTTCAATAGTATTTTGTAATTCTATAGAATTAGTTAGCACAACTTAAGACTAACTTTAGTTAGCTCAACTTAAGACTAACTTTATAATACACTAAAAATACATGCATATTTAGACCCATATTTTATACTCATTTTTGGTAATATTGGACTTTAAAGGAAGACATTTTTCATGTTTTATTACAAGTTGTTAATTTTTAGGACTTGAAGCAAAAATGAAGCAAAAAGGATAAAATTTGGAGTCAAAACGGAGCTTTAAAAGAAATGTTCAGCACCGACAGCGCCAGATTAAGTGCCGACAATGTCATTTGACAATGAGCATGGATTAAATAAATGGCCACTAGCGCCGACGGTGCCAGAATGGGCGCTGACATCGCCAATGTTGGTGCAAACCTTGTCTCTAGAAGATTCGACGAATATGAACGCCTTTTGAAGTGTTTTTTGATGCACCTATTGGAAAACTGACATTAGGCTCTACTTAGAGCAAAAATTGATCAGGAAAGACCCCCTTCACGTTGCTTCACCCCCTCACGTTGCTTCACGCCCCTTCGCACCCTTCAACTTCTTTCCACTCTCTTCCATGCTATTCCACATTCCCTACAAACACTTAGAGTCTATTAGTCATTTATTTTCTTTATAGTTTTAAGTTTTTGTGGTGAGTTTCAGTGTGAATTCTTTTCTAAGAGTGTTGGAGAGGGAGAAAAGTGAGAGATTTCTTCTTCCTACATTTCCTAAGATTTCCTAAGAGAGGCTACAAGGGATTTGCTTTGAGAAAGAGGTTCAGATAAGTGTTGTTT